AGGAGGCCAGGCTGAAGGGTACTTGGTAAATAACACTGAGACATGAACTGCCACAGCTCTGGTCCTTCCTCCAGCTCACATCCTTCTGCTCAGCCTACTACACACACACACACACACACACACACACACACACACACACACACACACACACACACACCCTCGTTTGCAGGTACTGGGTCCAGGTGGTGGAGCATCTCCTGATGCATTGGGAACACCAGAAGTAGATTTATAGAAGTAGAATTCCATTAAACACTAGGAAATGGAAACTGTTCAAAGTTGCCCGAAAGGCAACTAAAAATGAGGTTGTGGAAATCCAACCTGACTCAATGAGATTTACTTGACGCATTGTCTCAGTAAGTTACAATGGCCAAATCCAAACTTCTGACATATGCCTTATGAGTTTAAAACGTTTAGGGAAAAGTGATTAAACACCGTCTCCCAGGGCATCCAGTGTATGTTCAGCTAACAGTCTGAGAAGTTACCCCACATCAAAGAACTCGGGCCAACTCCTGCATCAAGTGATTCTTTCTAATTTGACATTGGGCTACTCAGCTTGACTCTTGCTAGACCCCCGCTCTTTCTCCAGGCGGAAAGACCTCTGTAACTGAAGGACTAAATTAATTGGATCAAAGTTTACAGGGGGTGTTTAAACATTGATGGCACAGGCATTTTGGCAGTCCATAGAGTATGATACAATGAAGAATCGGTTATTCAAAAGCTGCTAGGCCAAGCCTAGTTATGCAGTGACCCATTCATTCTGTGGTCTGGCTGCTGGGTGAATACTCCTACTTGATGGCTCCATGAAGCAGGACCTGAAAATGCCCATGTTACTATATCCACCTACACACATTAGGCTCCATTCCTTGTGCATCTTAGAATAAACCCTTTTTGAACTTGTAACCCCAGAAAAAGATAATTTTCCCTGAAAGGCCATGTAAAACTTCTCAAAAAATACAAAAACATCACAAGAAAATTAAGTGACTGCTGCCTTGTTTCAGAAAATATAAAATGTTTTGGGTGAAGTTTGTGATGCATTTTTTGAAAACATACCACCAAAATTTTACAGGAAATTGTGCATGGTTTTCATTTGCCTACAGCTCCCAGTGTCCTATATTTCCTAGGGGGAAAAAATCTCTTAACTTTGAAGTCTTTGACTAATTTACCAGATAAACCCACAGCATGTAAAATGGCATCTTTATGAATGCAGTGAATTAATATCTAGATTCCACTAGGGCCTGGAACTTTTGAGTTTTGCTATAAATTACAGCACCTGCTATAATGCTGTATTTCACACATGACGGGAACATTTTTTTCTGAACTGATAAACTAGGGACTGAAGTAATTGCCTACAGAATCTTCTTAAGGCCTTTAAACAACTATTTCTTAATATATCAAACATCAAATTATTTTTATATATCATTTATACAAACATATGTTGAAAATTTAAAAAATGAACTTTGTCATGGGAGTTTTATAAAAGATGAACTTGGAAAGAGAATTTAAAATATCAGTTCTATGCATTAAACCTACTGTCATTAAAATGAGTAAGTCAAAAAATAAGCTATAAAAGAAAATATGGACACGGTATAATCTCTGTTTAAAATGACATCAATTGCTAGGTGACAGCTAATCTAATTCTGGATTAACAAAGACAAATGCATGTCGCTGTTCAAATCCATAGATAAGGGAGAACTGAGCATTACTGCACCATTGAAAACAATAGGCTACCTTAGTATTGCTAGCCTGTCAGAAAAAAAAAAAAATGGAAGGAAAAGGACAGCAGTTCCACACAGAAACAGAAGCAACAGAGAGAGCTTGCTTTATTTTGGCATATTTTTAGTTAATGAGAAAAATAGGAGAAAAGATTTTAAAATGGTATTTTGAAAAATTCAGATGATAAACTTAATTAACTCTGGGAAGTGTTTGGGCATATTTTAAATAATGGCGAAACTATCTTCTGCTTCACAAGATCTACAATGTGTTTTCTTTCCTCCTCAGAATGATGGGTTTTGCTGTCTTCTTGGGGGTGGGGGGGGGGGACCCATTCTGCCTAATATTTCTATTGCATCATGTCATTTACAGCAACTGTATGTGACTTCTCCGTTTCATTATGTAGGATTTCTCTAAACTCTTGGGGATTTGGTCACAATTCATTACTTTACCCCAACTTCCAGAAGTGGGAGTGTCGCCCATAGGTATGGGGTGGAGAGAGGACATCATCCCTCATAGATGGCCATGCCAACTCTTTTCACCTGATGCTTGAACCATCCTCTTATGGTTCCATGTAAAATTCAGTGCAAGTTACCCAGCCAACCGCACAGGGTTGGATCATGTCTTCACATGTATCCTATATTCCCCCATATGAAATCTTTCACCATTACTGGAACATGGCTCTTTTACCCCCAAGTTGTTTCTAGAATATTCTTTTCCACTTGTCTGCTTGGTAACCTCTACTCATGCTTTAAGATTCAAGTCTTGACATCTCAGTGACTTCTGCACCTGCCCCAGGGAAGACTGATTGCTCACCTGGACTGCTGCTTCCCTCGGCTCACCTGTGTATCCTGACACACCGTCTCCCTGAGAACCTGGGGCATTCCACGGCCCGCCAACAAGTGTCTGACCCACACAGACGGTGTTCTTGAAATACCTGTACTGCACATTAGTGGCTGGAAACAGACAGACTGCATACAGGTCTGTTTTTTTTGTTGGAAAGCCTTTTTTAAAGAAATTTAAAATATTCCTGACTTCTTTCCTGACCATAAATGTTTTTGAACTTTAAGGTAGCCCGTTTGAATGACACCACTCACAACTGAAAGATGATTGTTCCTAACACATATGGCATGGTATTAGAATTTCACTTTTAAGCAGTGTTCAATTCTCTAAATGTGCTGCTTTCAAAACCCAATGAGTATTTGAGTTTTTATATAATCATTTTATGGGTGGTACATTTTGTTGAGTGGAAACTGTCAGATCCATATTCCTACACTGATCGGGGTCACATGTGGGTGTGTTTTGGGGTGTGCTAAGAGGTGGTGGCTGTGAAGACATTGAAGGGCAAGGTGCTGGGAAGAATGGGAGTCAAAGGGTGTACATTCCCTTCAGGCTGACAAATCCATGCTGCACTCAGCACTTCGGCCGTCTCCCCCTCACACACTCTACACAGACACTACAGCACGGTTCTCATCCTCTGCCCCTTTTGATTTCCACTAAGTTGACAGGAATACAGTGTCCATTGATTAAAAGGGCGGATTTGCTAAATACTGTAGCAGTGATAGTCCAATCTGTATCTAAAATCTCTTTACCCACAATATAGAACTTAAGAGTTAATACAGAACTCTAAAATCAGTACCCACAATTATTCTGTTAAATGTGGTGCTACTTATTAGGTGATTATTCTGCCCAAGACAAATATTAACACCTGTGGTGTACAACTATTGGGTTGTTGCTTTACAGATTTGCATCCCTAGTGTCTCTGTTAAATAATCTGCCTTCCTGTCCCAGGTAGCAAGATTCTGAGATGGAGCACAAGCTTTACAGAACCGACCTCTGCTTCTCAGCGCCTCACCCAAGACTGTGGCTCCTGTAGGATCAGATTAAAACAAGCATTTGAAGTAAGAATGTTAAACGCTCTTGCATCCTAGATCTGCCCCTAAATGGTGGATAAATTTTCCTTCTTTCTTGACTTCCCAATTTATTCATATTTCTATAAATTACCTATCACATCCTGAACTCATTTGTGACAGCTTTTTAACTGGAAAAATATTTTAAGTGTTGGTAGAATTTGCTGTGTAGGAATCACAATGCTACCTGTGAACATTCACTATCCTATCATCAAGTACTCAAAGGTTATTATTAGAAATTAGAATGTAAAGCATTTTATTTCATATGCTTTAAAACCTGATCAATTACTTCAAATGACCTACATTATTCAACTCATGTTTCTAAGGAAAGCATGACCACCTGCTTCCTCACCTATTCTGTCACTGTGATTAAAATGTGCCATTTTCTTCCATTAGGAAGATAAAAAGGTGGAAATCTCCAGGTAACACTAGTTAGCAATCTGATCCTGGGGAGTCAATAGCCTCATTTTTCTTCTCCTCTTTTCATTAAAAAAGAAAAAAATACTTATCTAGTGAAAGAGAAACACTTCTTGCTGCTGGTGAATGTATTTCCCTAGGACTTCATTACACCAAGTAGTAAGATTGGTGTTTAAATGATTAAGTAGATATCTAAGCTTTTGCAAAAAGAAAATGACACCTAATTAAGATGGTGCTTATAGAAATCAAGACACTAATAATTAACCAAAATACTTTTGATAGGTCTATGAGAGGTTTATGCAAATGTGAGGCACTATTATCATCACACACCTAACGATGCGATGTTTTGGGATGTATTTAGGGTTGTAAGTGTGCAGGGTGCTCTGCCTATGTAACCTGTACTGGAGTGAAACTCTTTATCTTTTTATAAGCTCGCTGTACTGTTTCAAAAGTTAGAAAACAAGCCATAATTCCTAGAATTTGCTTTCCTGGTGACAGGTTATTTCATCCCAGCAAAAAGATTAAAAGGCCACGGTCAAGTCAGCCAACCAGCATGAGGCACGAGGAGGTCTGGTGCGGGGCATCGTGGGGACCCTCTGGGATGCTTGGTTGATAGGCACTTTGGAAGCTGCCCAGAATTCTAAACTGTTCCCCATTCATAGCATGTCTGAAAAATCACACGTGGGACACCAAGTCTGATAAAAATATATTTAAAACAAGAAAGAAAAAATAGTTTGGGCCATAAGGATATCTTTCATCATTCTTTCAACCAAGTTGAGTTAAATTATACGTATAATGATTTCAAGTATCAACTCATGTGTGATAAATCAGAAAGCAAACAACCAGGACTCTTTTTTTTTTTCAGAAAAATGTATTTGCAATTCAAATGTTCATATAAAAAGCATAAATTTTAAAAAGTTCATAGATGTGTTTTTTCAGAAGTGTTATGGTTTTGCCATTCATTGCAATTACATTCCAAAGTAATGCAGGCTGGTCCACACTGCACCATCATAGACTTTTGTCACACTGAAGTCACTCGCATCACAACTTCCCCTGAGCTGTTGTCTTCTGACAGATCTTCGTGGGGCCTCATTCGACTGAACAGATGCAATAACACGTAGCCGCACTGGAACCGAGGGGAGGTTAGCTGCGTCGGGTGGACCAAGTTCCTGTTTCGCAGAGCCGTTAGTGGCAGCCATAAAGTCCTGCTTGTGGAAGACTCTCCCCTGCTACTTTCTTCGATATCTGTGGCTTTGTCATAGTTTAAGACATCCCAGTGTAAGTTAACAGCTCGCCAACGCTTAAACACTCTGTAAACTGCAGCTCCTTCATGGACAATGAGACCTAGAATTCAAGAAAAAAATAAATTAAAATGGCTGGTCATAATCAAGTAACATCAATAACATTTGGGAATGTTATTTTGCCTGCAATTAAGTATTTAGTCAAATTTGTTACTCATCATCTTTAAAAATATGGTATTCTTACTACTAAAATGTTTTGGATAATAGCAAAAACCATATTACATGGGAATGATTAATCAATATTCAATGATTAAGAATCCACTACTATGCAGAAAACAGAGTTACCATGGGATATAATTTACTTTGTCCATTATGGCTCAGGACATATCTTGGGCATTTCATTGCCTTAGGAGAAACACTAGGTTCCTTTATTCATTCGGCATATATTTAACATATATTTCTTGAGCCAAACAATGTGTTAAGGGGTTGACTCCAGCTGGTTACTTAATTTGGGAAGGAGACAGGAATTAATATTGATGCCATCTCCCCAGTTCCTAAAACAATGCTTGACACAAAAGGAGGTATGATATAATTTTTTGTTATTTTTACTTTCCTCAACAATTTAACAAAATTTTATTAAGTGCTTATTTGAGAGCTTTATGTATATTATCTCATTTGGTTCTTACCAGAGCCTTATGAAGTAATTATGGGCATCTCCCCCATTTCATAAGCAAACACACCAAGCCCCAGGCATGTTTGGGAACTTCTCAGGAGCAGACAACTAGTTGCAGTGGGGCAGGAATTCAGACCCAGGCAGGACAGTTCCAGGGTCCTTGCTCTTCGCTGCTTCAGTGAATTAGATGATTATGCATTTCTGAGAGAGCATCTTGGGAAAATAAATTGGGTAATAAAAGGACTTCAGAGACCACAAACTAGCAGCCAGTGAGTCAGATATGGTGCCCTGATACATGGGTTCATGTCCTCTATCCACCCAAGGTTCCACCACACCCTGCATTTTTCGTACATTTCTATTTCAGCTGGAGTGCAAAAGCTTTTGAATTTGTGACCCCCTCACAAAAAGGAGTCCTGCGTGGGGGGTTGGAGGTGTCCTTCAGACAGAAATGTGAGGGGCAGCCCTCCTCTTTCAGGAGGTGGCCAGTCCATTGAGAGGCGGTGGAGAGGTCAGTGAAGTCTTTTTTTTTTTTTTTAATACAATGCATCAGATGCCAACCATTTTTTAACAATAAATTCAAAAATGAGTAGCTCCTCCCTCTCCTGCATTTAGAATCTTGGTTATATGCTCTCAAGACACTCTTAATAAATGTGAACAAGGAAGCGTGTTCAAAATGATTATTTACATATTAGTTTGCTTTTGAGAAAACAGTATCAGCACAATCTCAATGTCAATCCTTAAAAGGACAGACAGCTTGTGGTGTGTGGATCTGAAGGACTTCAGAGACGAAACCGAAGGGACACAGTCCCAGGCACTAACGTGGATAAACCTTAAAACCACAGTGGAAACTTCAAAGCCACAATGAAAAAAATGAATGTTTCAAAAATAACTAACTAAATAACATATTTTTATGGATACAAATTATGATAAATAAAAGCATAAAACATGCATGAGAATAAGAACCATTAAATTCACAATAGTGGGAAGAGAAAAAAAATGAAATGAGATCTGGGAGAGGCTTCAAAGAAGACTTCCAACTGTATCTCTATTGTTGCCTTTTTTTAAGCTGGGTGCTGGGGAACATATTCACCATATTATTCCGTAGCCTCTTCTGTGTGCCTGAATAGTTCCTAATTTCAAAAATGACAGAGAACAAGGAAAATTGACCAAAGACAGACTGAAGAATTGACAGGCGAAGTAGAAGAGACAGTAAGGAGGTGACCCATGTAAATGTGGGGAGCAGGGTGGTAGCAGTAAGGAGAAAACAGAGGGACAAAGTAGTAAACTTGTCAGAGGAGAACTGAACAGCAACTGTAATACAGCGAAAGGGGTAAATCAGAGTCCCACATTTTTAAGGCTGGAGAAATGGGTGATTGAGAGGATGAGTACAATGAGTAAGGGTTTTGAACATGTTTTTTGGGGGGGAGATTAGTTCCTATTTTCATCAACTAAAACAATGCCACATAGGGGAGAGAGACACTCAGCCCTTGGAACAGCACACCTGCCTACTAGCAGAATTTAAGCTTTACACTGCTCCCTCACCGGGAGATCAACTCCAGGCATAGGTGACTTACCAGCATTCCAAAGACATTGCCATAGGCCACCAAAAATGCATATGGTCTAATAAATAAAAATGTCTTAACTGAAACTATTGTACATCACCAACATAACAAGGAGAAATGTAAATGTCTATTAATTACAACAATTTCAAATAATTGTTATAATCAATTTCTTTTTCCAAAGGAATATTTGGAGTTGACCCAAACAATGAGATGACTTTGGGGAAAGCCATATTTAGAAGTCGAAACTACCAGATTTTAATGGATGATTCTATTATCAGCTCTCTGAAAGTTCAGTGGCCAATAATTTAATTTTTCTGGTTCTATTTTTCCTCCTTAAAATGCAATTGGAAAACCTAATCTATACATCTAGCAGAACAGTATGAAGATAAATTAGAATTCATCAACTATAAAGCACTCAGATTTCTTCAGAGATGGTAACTATATAAATACAAGATATTATTATTAATTAAAATATCAATAGTGGATCTATGTGGTGAGGAACATTCATTCACACTAATCACAAAACCATTACAGCTTGCAACGGGTTCACTGTAGATCAGTGCTGTGATAGGGGGAGACAGCTTCACCAGGGAAAAGCACTCATTTTGCAGAATCCTATTCTCTTTTTTATTGATTTCCTTTGAAAAGCCAGAAATCAGATAATTTGCTAGAGCTTAAAGTCACTTTCTGGGCATACACTCCTGGTAGCCCTTTTCTAAATACATAAATCCACCCATGTGCAGAAATAAATCCCACAGGTCTTTACAGAACATTTTGAACTGAATTTAGAGAGAGAGAGAACTACTTGAAGTTTTCACGAAGACACAGTCTCTTAAATTTCCAGCTCCAACTGCTGCTTCTTAATTGCATTTCAAGTTATGAATAATGCTTAGATTGTGTTTTATTCCCCCCAAGAATTCAAAATTACTCCTTGCCCTTTAGAAGCTTAAATTTTACTGAAATACATGGAACCCCGTCCCAGCCCCAATGCTGTGCTCTGTGATGAGCATTTTCCCCGTCCTTCCTCAAATGTGCAGGAGTTGTCGCGAACGCCTTCCGTACTAGTGGTTATGAGAAGACAAGACCTCTATGATCATTGAAATCCAGGAGTAAAAATTCATCCAACTCTAGTTTGTGTGTTGAAAATCCTGCCATTAAAATCACACCGCCGTCCTTTCTTACTGATGATGGGTCTCCTCTGGCTCCCTCACGGGGAAGCCCACTTTCTCCAGCCGCTGTCACTCTCTGAGCAGTACAAGCTAAGCCTTAAAAAGAATTGATCGCCTTGACATTTTAGGTCGTAGGAGAACACGCTTAACTTTACTTTTTCATCTGAGTCACTAAACCTAAAGAGAAAATCAATAATTTCTATGAAATGTAAGTATCAAATATTTTAGAACACTTGCTACATTATTAATGGCATAGACGTGAACAAGGTGTGATTCATGGGAATTTGAAGAGTTGAGCACTGTGTGGCGGCTTTTTATCATTTTCTTGCCAGTAACATTTAATTGGGGCACCCCTTTGTATTGAGGTGCAAAAGAACATTTTTGTTAGAGAATAGTCTTTAAAAACAAAGGGCGGGTTTAAATAGTTTCTGATTTCGTTGAAATAAAAACAATTTGTTTATATAGGTAAAATATACCCGATATTTTTTGGAACATATTTTTTTGGAAGTGGCGTGTTCGTTGAAATTCTTATATGGTAGTAGAAAATGAGCTAATTACCATAGGAACTTATGGGGCAGGCTCTCAGGTAAACATGTTCATACGCACATGCATCCACACACACCATATGTCTATTGTGTGAACACAAGAGAAATGGCGTGTTATCACTGAAAGAGACTTCCAAAATTTACAATCAAATACAAATTTTGATATTAATGACCAAAAAGCACTGGTCAAACATTTCATTTCTTATGTTACCACTCAACTTTTGCCCAAATAAGTTTGGTCAGTTTCACAATTTAAAAACCAGATTTTTATCAAGGATCTATTTTGATAGCCAAGCACTGTGCTATGTGCTTTACATGCACAATTTTCATTTAATCTTGATGGCAATGTTACAAATAGATACTGTTACTGAACAATTTCATGGTTGAGGAAATCGAGACTTACAGAGAACTTGTCCAACATCACGAAGATAAGAGAATCAGAGCTGAGATTAAAGCTCAAATTTGTCTATAAGCAAACCTTGAGTGTTACAGCCCTACTCGTGGTAAATGTCGAATGTAAGGCAGTATCTCCTAGTCACAGAATGACGACAAACTAAAAGAGACCTGCTGTCAACTGAATGTATGTGTCTCCCTAAAATTCTTGTTGAAGACCCTAATCCCTAATGTGATATATCTGGAGGTGGAACTTCTGAGAGGTAAGGAGGGTTACAGTAAGTCCTAAGGATGGGGACCCTGTAATGGGATAAACGCCCTCATAAAAAAGGCCATGTGAGGACACAACGAGAAGATAGTCGTCTGTAAATCAAGATGAGAACCCTAACCAGTCACTGAGTAGGCCAGCACCTTCACCTTGGACTGACTCCCCAGTCTCCAGGACTTTAAGAAATAAATGTTTGTTGTTTAAGCCACCCAGTCCATGGTATTTTAGTACCTTGAACAAGCTAAGACAGACCCTGCAGATAAACTACATCACCCTCATTTAAAATATAAGTAAATTAAGTCCTGGAGACTGTGGTTGGAGCAAAGTTATACGATTAGCTGCCATTTTTTAACATCCTTGTATGTCACTGCCAATGCAACAGCCCTTTCTCTGCTCCCTTCTCCCTCAACCACACAATAGAAAAGGGAGGGGAGCCTTATTTGAAGGCAACACTACATGGTGAGAGCGTCATCTGGTTCGCTGAACACGCCCT